ACGTCTTCACCAAGGCCTTGGCTTCTGTGTGCAGCTAGGGCTTGTTGAGGTAGGCCTTCTGCTGCTGTAGCCTTGTTGTTTGCTCTACTTGTTTTGCTTTTTTATATATCCAAGTGAACTCTTGAACTGGCCTTGTGGCCTCTTGTTTGTGCTCGGAGTGTGTGGTGACTCTGAGCGCCACCCTGAGCTTTGTTTTTGCTGCTTGTTCTTGACTGGTCTTGTGACCGTTGTTTCGCTTGCAAGTCTTTGGGTGCCCCTCACTTAGCCTATTGGGGTGTATCAAATGCATCTAATTGTTATAGGCTGCGGTGAGGTACTCACTAGAGAGTACAACTCAGTTAGGGTTGCTACTTGTATAGCTTCCCAACCCTAATGCAAGCATCCCGTTGTGTTTACATTCTGAGATGCGCTTCGGGGCTAGCCCGAACCTCGCTGCAAGCATCGCACTAGCTAGCTCACGCACATCGCGTTACCGTTTGCTAGTTTTCGCAATAAATGTTCGCTCATGCCTTCGCTCACATTTGTACTCGTTTGCCACTTAGTGCAATCCTCGCTACTTCGATACATTGCACCAGGGCTTATTTTTGGATTTTGCCTACTCACGATTAGCAGTGTAGACATTTCAAAACCCTTCTGAGCAGTGTGTCCTTTTTGGAAACACTGATGGATCAGTGTAACTTGAAGTTTTGAATTTTTTTAGTGTAGGCGGCATTAGTGTATGTATATATTTTACCCTGATTGTACTGTAGGCGGCTCTGTATGTGCTGGCAACAACCAAGCCCGAGGCCCAAATTGCGCAAGATTACTAATCCCGTGCAAGTTGGGCTGCTGGTGGGGGGGGGGGTTGTGAACTCAAAAGTTGAGCGCAGTGGCTTGTCTGGTTTCGTTGCAACACTTGTTTTTTTGCCGAGTCAGCAAGCTTCCTAGGGGGAACGTGTGTTTGGGGACCTCGAGTCCCAATTTGCCGAGTCGAGAAAGTTGAAGTTTATGCAGTGAGTGCAGCTTCGACCAATCAGGTTGCATCGCCCCCACAGTAAGGGTAGGTTGCAAGCAGACACTGAGTAACGCGGTGTCGGTTGTCAGTACTCACGTGCTGGCGTCGTCGTGCATCATTACGAAATTGGGTGTATCGTTACGAAATTTCTAGGAAATTTCGTCCCGATAAGTAGAGTTTCCGAAGACGGGGTGGGGGGGGTTCCCTGTACGCTCTTCAGGGTAATCTTCGCTAAGGAAAAAATTACCCCAGAGCATCAGTGTGGCCTAAATCGTTACACTGACATATCAGTGTAACACTAATCCCCAAAAAAAACCCCAACCCATCAGTGCAGGCCCTAAATTTCACCCTTACAATCAGTATAGCAGTGTAAATTACGCTGATAAAATACCAAGCCCTATTGCACCCGTAACAATATTGTAAAACCCAAGCACTCATATTGTTTGGTCATCTGGAGACATTTACAAATAATTGTTACGCTAGTTTGTCGGTTGTTCGAATACGAAGCACATGCCCTTGTCACACGTGCATCTGTACATCCGTTCCGTACATCCTTGTTGAGAAGCTAAGTTCTGCCAGCCACCAACCATTTTCCATCGCTAATCTAAGATGGCGTTCCCACGCTTGCCCGCCATCAGAGTTTCCCCACCAGCATGCAATTTGGGCAGGATGGTGTCCAAGGTGGGAGCTTGTCCACTTTGGACATCACGGTTTTTATGCATGACGACCTAACATGCGATAACAATTTCAAACACCTTTTTCGCTCCCAATCAAAGAGCAGAGTCTGCATTCGCCATTCGGGAGTAAGTAGTAGATGGCGAGTTCAGGTGTAGTGACATAAAGTTTCTATGCGTTCGAGTGTAGAAATAGCTCTGGGTCTCATGCACCTAAATTGGCAGTGTACCAATTTTTGTAGGGTTTTTTTTTTCCCCCGTTTTTTCCCCCAGACTAAATCTGTGAACCTGCCCGTCGAGTTAATTGCACTCCATGACTTGCGGATGCCGTCGTCAGCTGTTAGATTGAGTTACCAGCAGAAGTGAAATCTAGATCGTACGGCCCAAATTAGCTTCTTACTGATGGGCAAAGTCCGAGCCACATTTGCCCCAATTTCCTCACATTTTACAACTTGGCGAACCGCGTGGGAGAAATTCAATGGCGGGCAAACGTGGGAGCGCCACCTAATTAACCCACTCCCACTAATCCTGACTCCTCGCTAGGAACGGGAGTGACAGGAGTTACGGAAACCCTAACTTCAGTAGTCGATTCAGTGAATCGAGTCGAATAGTTGTTCTTAATCGAGTCGAATAGTTGGTTCTTATTACGAGTTCGAAGCCAGCAAACCTGGAGCGCGATAGTTCTCACCGTGACGGCTTTGCCTCGACCATCGGGGGATGAAGACCGTAGCAACCCTTTTTCTCGGCACGCTGCTCCTGCTGACGTGGCACGCAGTTTTGCGAGTCGAGAGCGCGCCTTTCGCCGAGTCCCAGAGTGCGTGCCGCACATGGTAGTATCCTTGACCGCCGTACCCCTGGTAACATCTAGAAAGCGGCATTTTTGCCGAATTTACTTTTGAGTCGACTTTAGTCAACTTCAATCACCCGGGTGTGTACCGCCATGGTAGTATCCCTGGCCGCCGTAATCCTGGTAGCATCCAGGATGCGGCATTTTAGCCGCAATGGCCACTGGATGTTGGGACGACGATGTTCGGGGTGCTGACTCCAAGCTGCCAGCTTTCGATGTCTGCTCACCTTCTTACGACGTATGCTGACCTGCGCGCGCACAGCATAGAGTAGCACAAAGAAAAGATGGAATGTGGTGAGAGGGAATGTGTGAGAGGGAATGTGGTGAGAAGGAATGTGGTGAGAGGGAATGTGGTGAGAGGGAATGTGGTGAGAGGGAATGTGGTGAGAGGGAATGTGGTGAGAGGGAATGTGGTGAGAGGGAATGTGGTGAGAGGGAATGTGGTGAAAGATGTGGCTGGACAACATTTTGGGTCCCTTCTCTTCTAAACGCTGTACTTCTCTCCTCTTACCCTCCTCCTTCCGCCAGCGCAAGTCCTGCTGGACTGTCAGAAGGCGTGGAGCAAAACGTTTGACGGCTGGGTGGTTGGTGCGGACTGCGACAATGCAAGCAACGTTACGTGCGATGCCCAGGGCATGATAACTGATATGTGAGTGCACGTTTGTGAACGAGATGATAAAATCACGTGAGTGGATGGACCTTTGATACTTGAGAGATGTGAGTGCACCTTTGTGGGAGACAGTAACAGCCATATGTGTGAAACTCAGGTAATCCTCGATGGACCTCGATGCGTGAAAAAAACAAACAAACAAACAAACAACAACAACCCTAAGCCCGAAATTTTGAACCGTGGTCCACTTCGCCTCACCGCCCCCTCGGCTTCCCCTCTTCCAAAGAACAGCAGCAACTCACTAGCTTCTTCCCTTCCTAAGCTAGAAAAAACAGTCGGTGCATGCCATGGCTCGGAAAAAAAGCTTGAGGCGAGTTGCGGCTCCACTCGCCATTTCCCCCTTCCCCCAATAGGTCCCCCCAACTCCCCAGCATCCCCAATCCTGGTCGCATCTTCCCCCTCCACCCTCCCACACCTTCCGCAAGCCACGGCTACACTCGCAGCTCATGCCTACTAGTAACTCCTTTCAGCCTTTCCCCGTTTCCCCCAACCTCCCCCCACCCCCCAACCCTCCAGTTATCCCAACCCCGCTCGCCTCCTCTCCCCCACTCCTACACTTCCGCACCCTCCCCCACCTCCCCGCCCCACCTCCCCATCTTCCCCCATCTCCCATCTCCCACCTCTCTTTTGATGCCTTCATCTGTCTCTCACTCTCTCCTCTTCTCTCTTCCCTCACCCCTCTCTTCCTTCCCCTTCCCTCGCTATTCTCGCTCGCTCCCCACGATGCTGTTAGTAGCACAGCCAAGGTTCAAAATTATGACCGAATTATTGAAATTATACCATATAATACGGAATCGTATTAAACGATCGTATAATACGGTTTAAAACGGTGGTTTATTGTTTTCTTTGTTTGGTTCAAAAATACGATCGTATAATTCGACCGAAAATTTAAAACCGAGTCTGCTTATGTCGGAAATCAACATTTCACACGCATGATTCTCCGAAAGTCAAATTTCTCTGACAGCCGTACACACGAATGTGTTATTTTCCCGTGTCGCGAATGTCACGACATTTACGCGTCGCGACATCTGGGCAATTGGCGACGCCAATAAGCAGGTTACGTGTTTTGCCAACTCGTTGGCATCAGTCGCCGAAGCGGAACATGTACATTTTCCCGAGTCACGACATTCCAACATTTGGCGAACGGTACCCATTCGATCCCACGTTTCGTTTTTTCCGTTAAACATTTTCGCACGGCGGATATTTTTTTTCGCGCGTGGTCGCGACACATCCAAAAGACGCGATGCGAAACCTCTCCAACCAATCAGAATACATCCCGTGAGCTCAACCTGTTCCCAAACCCACTCGACACAACACGCCCAGTTTCCACTACGAGGTACTTCTTAGGGGCTTGGTTTAGTCACTCCTGCACATATTCAAAGCATAGCTCTAGTCTAGTCTTCAGTGTACTCCACCACCCTGCGTGCGAGTCAGGACATACGCCATGGTAGGCATGAGCAAAGGGCGAACTCGAACATGTTCGAGTTCGCCCACCCTCGAACATGTAGTTTTGCCGAACCGAACACTGTTCGGTTCGGCGAACTAATTAGCTGAAACTTGGTGTTCGCCGTTCGCCCTAAGTGGCGAACGATTTTTTTCAACAGGCGAACACGAACATGTTCGAGACGAACATGTTCGTGTTCGCCCAGGGGAAAATTCACTATAGTCACACATGTCAGAAAACAGTTTTCAAGGTTCAGGATGATAGCAAAATGTGTGCAAGGTGTATATGTGTGCATGCAACGAACCCAATAGTACAACATCACATACTGTGAAGGGAAATGTCAAAGTCTAACAAATTCCTACACTAAGTGACTAAGGCGCCACTGCACTGCTACTACCAACAACAGCATCCTCTCCACCAGCTGTGTCGTCAGCCTCCACACCCTCCTCCTCCTCCTCCTCGTCATCCTCCTCTGCCCCCTCGCCCTCAATGGCGAACTCTGGTGGTGCGACGCCTCTCGGTCGGCGGCCCTCGCCTATCCTCTGGCCAGGGTGTGAACTGTACCATGATCTGAGAATCATGACAGCTCGCGTCCTCTGAGAGGCCAGGCGGTGCCGCTTCCAGGAAATGAGGTTGCGACCAAGGGAGAACACCCGTTCACTCGAAGCGGACGTGGCAGGGATGGCGAGATAATCCCGGGCCATGCGCCTCAGCGTCTGCATGTTGGTGGCACTGCGCCAGTACTCTAGCGCTGTCACGTCGCACCGCACCCTCTCGGACAAGTACCTGCTAACCTCGTCATCCTGCACCATCCCACCCGCCCCCGCCTCCTGGCTCGCCGACAGACGCGCCGCAAGTCGTCGGCGACTAGGAAGAAACTGCGCGTCATCGTCGTCCTCCTCCTCGTCTCCGTCCTCCTCCTCCGCAACGGGGGCAAGTGGGGTCGGCCGTGGAGCAAGCTCTGCAGCCCGGGCCTGGTACTCGGCCACGCGGTCGCGCACCAGCTTGATCACCTCGCCCGACGCCGGACGCGGCCTCACCCTCCTGTCGGTCTCGGGATGCAGCTTCTCCCAGTGCGCGTCGTCGAACCACGCCGCCTTCATGGATGGGTCCAAAAAGGTGGCGATCCAGTACTCGTTGCTGGTGATGTACGCGTACTTCTTCAAGTGGCTCAGCGCCGCCACGATCATCGGCTGCAGCGTCGGAGATGGCCCCTTGGCAAGGCGCGACTCCATGGCGTCGATCAGGCCGTTGTAGTACGGCACCACCATCGACACAGTCGGGTACGCCGCCCCCTCTGCTGCCTTGGAGACCTTGGCGAAGGGGCTTAGGAATGTCTTCACCGCCTGCAGGGTCTCCCAGTCTGCGTCTGTCAGGCGCAGACTCTCCACCTTCTTCTTGTCGGTCTTTGACAAGCCCTGTCGGGTAGAGGGAATGGTTTGAGGGGAGGTATGAGGGAAAGGAAACTGTGATTATGGAGGAGGATTATGGCATCCGGCCGGCAACATACAAGCATGACCAACAATATTGTGTAGACGTGCTAACACACCACACCCACACAAAACACATGTGTTACCTGTGTCTGGGCGAAGAAGACAGTGATGGGGTTCTGCAGAACACCCGCACGCTCGACCATGTCGTGGGTCGACCCCCAGTGCGTAGGACTGTCCTGCACCAGCTTCAACGCCGGCTTCGGCGTGGCGGGGTTGGCCTGCGAGTTCAAGGTCCGCTGTAGGCCCAAGAAATACCCCGAGCGCTGTGGAGAGAAGCCAATCCACGACGCCATCTCTCTCAGTATCTTCAGCAACTTCCGTATGGAATCCACAGCCAGTGCTGCCTGCACTGCAAGGTTGATCACGTGTGCCAAGCACCTGCGCACGGAACACAACATTAGGGAAAGAGATAAGGGGAAGTTGGAGGACACATGGTTAGAGCGAGCCACAGAACCAACAAAGGCAAACACACCCCCACAAAGGCAAACACACGCCCACACTCCCGCACGCCCAACCCACGCACACTCCCACACTCACCGGAAGTGCATGCGCGAGCTGAAGAAGCACTGACCACCACCCTCCTCCGACATCCGCCTGAAGGCGGCAATGTTGCTAGAGGCGTTGTCTGTCGTGAAACCAAGACAACGCCCCTCCAACCCCCACTGCACAATCGTCTCCTCAACCACCTGCGCCATCTCCCTGCCCCCATGCCGCCGGAGCATCTCACGGAACTCAAGCACCATTGTGCGCAGCTGGAAGTTCTCGTCTATCCAGTGACCTGTCACCACTAGCCATGCCTTGTTGTTGGGTGCCGTCCACATGTCGATGGTGATCGACACCTTGCACCCCAACTCCCCCTCCTTCGCCAGCATCTCCGCAATGGCGGACTGGAGAGCTGCTGTTGCATAGACCACAGTGTCGCGCGATACCGTCCACCGCGAGGGGATGAAGTTCTTCTGTGCGCAGTTGCGGTTTAGCAGGATCAATAGCTCCCGAAACTGAAGGAGGGTAGAGTAGAGACAACTGTGAATGGTGGATATCCGAATGGTGGACATGTGATTGGTGGACATGTGAATGGTGGATATGTGAATGGTGGACATGTGAATGGTGGATATGACAATGGTGGATTACAATAGAAGCATGAAATAGTCAACCACACACATACTGCCAAAACACCAGGCATGGGACACTCACGGCCTCGGACTCGACGATGCGGAAGGGGAGGTCGCAGGTGACCACCAGCTTGGCGATCGCCTGCCGTAGCTCCTCCGTGGACAGCTTGGTTGTCATGAACCGCTCCATCCCGCCTGACCCCGGAGCTCCACCGGACGCCGTCCCTTTCTTCTTTGCGAGATGCGGCCAAGACTTGGCATGCGGCCACCCATCGACGTAGCCATCCGGCACACCCTTGTAGCCCCCACGAGGAAACGTCTCCCCAGGCAAGTGAACGGACGGAGTGTGGTAACGGTGATGCCACACGTGCATGTGCGCTGTGTGGTAGCTCTCAAAGTGCCGCTCGCCGGGTGTTGTTGTGGATTGCTTCCACGAAATCCTGTCAGTGCAAATCTTGCACTGACGCTTCTCGTCTGCCCCTTTAGGCCCGAACATCTGTACTTGCCACCCCGGTTTTTTATTACCCTTGCCAGTCCCCTTACTACTCTCGGACCCTCCGTCCTCGTCTAGGAACTCCGGAGCGACCACACCCTCGCCCAAGGGCTTCCCAGTGAATGTGCAGGGATATGCTCGCTCCCTCAACTTGCTCGCCCTCTTCCTCCGCTTCGGCATCCTAATGGATGCCCGCTTTCTCCCCACCTTAACCCCCACGCTCCCTCCTCCTTCAGCCACATGCTGTGAGGCCGCCTCTGTCGCCGCCCCTTCACCACCCTCTCCCACCCCCTCCTCCACCTCCTCTGGCTCCAACCCATCCATCTCATGGTCCTCCTCATCATCCCCCCCTTTCCCACCGCCATGCGTCTCGGGATCCCACCCGGCCTCACTGTCATCCCCGCTCCCCTCATCGTCCTCATCCTCCTCGCCCTCACCCTCCTCCTCCTCATCCTCCTCCCCACTGCCACTCTCCGGCTGCGTCTGCCCAGAAGGAGGGGGTCGCGGGCCTGAGTAACGGAACGAGTGACGGGACGTCGGCGCCGCTACGGAAAGAAACCCCCCGACGAAACAAGCGCCGGCTCCTGCAGGTCCATCCCCTACTCGCCCCTGCATAGGTCGTGGTGGAGAACCTGGTGTACCGCCCTGAGCGCTGCCTGCACCTCGTTCTACAGATCCATGTTGGCTAGAAGCCATAAATCCGCTCTCGGCCTTAAAACCCTAAAACCCCAAAGGAACGGTCGCAAGCCACGGATAGCACGGTCCTAATTGAACTCCTAGGTACGTGTGGCACGGAGAAATGCCCGCCCCTACAACTAGGGAATTAGCCTCTACGAGATTGATCCCGTAGCTACTACGAACTAACCCCTCGCGATTTCTGAAATTACCCTTCACTACTAAGAACTACTTAGTTGAAATGTTCGTGTAATAGTTAGGGAACGGTGTGTGGTGGCTCTTAGGGATGAAACCTATGGTGGTTGAGGGAGGGAGGGCTAACGGCCAAAAAACGATTTGAGTTTGAGCTCAAAAAATGAGCTCAAACTCAAATTGGCCGCGACCTAAATTTGGTCGCGGCCAGTTTTGACGCGAACACTTTGGTGTTCGCGTCATGCACAAAACGAACACGAACATGTTCGTGTTCGTCCACACTCCGCGAAACTGAGGTGGCGAACGGCGAACATGTTCGGGCGAACACCGAACATGTTCGCCTCGAACTATTTTTTCCAAAAAAAAAAATAGTTCGGTTCGCCTCGAACATGTTCGAGGCGAACCGAACAGGTGTTCGAGTTCTTGCTCATGTCTACGCCATGGCGAGGCAGAAATCGCCACTGTGGAATAGGGATGAGCATAGGGACCCGGCGGGTCGGGTCGACCCGACCCGACCCGGGTTTTGACCCGGGTCGGGTCAGGAGTTCTGAACCACTGACCCGGCCGGGTCGGGTCGACCCGTGACCCGATTCCGGGTCGGGTCGGGTCGGGTCGGGTTTTGACCCGATTATGGACTCGACCCGGTTTCGGGTACCGCGCCCTATCTCGGGTTGGGTATCTGGCCCGACCCGAGGGTTTCCTCTCGACAATGTTATCCAGATCGCAATCGCGCTTGTTTGTTTTCCCAGCAACTAGCATTTTGATCTGGATTAAGTTAGGTTAACTAGCTAGTGACGCCAGCAGCCACCCACCAAGCAACATTGGCGTACTAATCTACCCTAGAACCCACGATAATGTTTAGTTAGTACTCAGCCAATCGCACTTCGCACTTCGCGCCATCCATCCTAGGGTTTCTTTTAAATCCGAAATTTACAGGTCGCGCTCCCACCCTAGGCGCGCGCATTGCAGGCCCGCGTTTTAGGGCATCTCGGCGCGCCGTGCAGGCGCAGGTCGCTAGACCCGCGCCCCTACACATTATTAAGGAGAACCTCTAACCCTGCCTATGGGAGTCGGCCCGACCCGACCCGACCCGGCCCCGACCCGACCCGACCCGGGGGCGGGTCAAGCCTGACCCGGCACCCGATACCCGGGTCGGGCCAGAGATCTCAAAAGTTCCGACCCGACCCGACCCGACCTGGAACCCGGCTGGCCCGCCAAAGTCGGGTCGGGTCGGGTCGGGTCGGGTCATTTGATCATACCTACTGTGGAAGCACATTACGACGGCTAAGGTACCAGACGGCGCTTTAACGGCGAAATGCGTACAGTGCAGCGAATCCGTGACTGCAAATGCAACACGCATTGGAGAGCACATATATGGGACGCCGAAGGACAAAGATAAGAATGTGACGCCGTGCGCCCATGAAGTCGCCATCAAACTTCGCGAGGAATCAGAAGCATCTAGTTCGCGTTCCGGAAGCGCCACTCCGTCAATCCATGGCTCCACTTCAAGCCTTGACATCCAACCCACTCGTCGCGCTCGGCAGCGGGACATCCGCGACATGGTGGATGACTCTGCACGTGCTCGACTGGACTACCTCTGGGCCCCTGCAGTGGCTGATAACGATTGGGCGTTCCACACGTCCAAGTCACCAGCCGTGCAGAACTTTGTGGATGCAGCTGTTGCCTTCGGGAAACAGTACACCCTCCCGTCCCCCTTCAGGGTTTCTGGTGTGCTTCTTCAGAAACTGGTGGCGGATACCGAGGACCTCGTACGTCCCCTGAAAGAGAGTTGGAACACTAGCGGCTGCACCATCTCCGTGGACGGCTGGACCTGCATGAAGAGCCGTGGGCTCGTGTGTGTCATAGCCCACAATGACACGGCGCCTGTCATTGTGAAGACCGTGGACTCCAAGACCGCGAAGAAGACGGGGGAGTACTTGGCCGGCCTCATCCGGCGCTCGATCGCCGATCTTGGAGACAAGAAGGTTGTCCAAGTGGTCATGGACAATGCGTCCAACAACCGAAGGGCGGCCGAAATCCTTCGTGACGGGTTTCCAGCAATTTTCTTCAACAACTGTGCGGCGCACGTCCTCGACTTGATGCTTCACGACATCGGAAACATCCGTGCAGTGAAGCGGGTGCTTAACCAGGTGCACAGGGTGGTTATGATCGTCAAGGGCAGTGCGTCCGCCGTCACGCTCTTCCACGAGTTGTTTAGCACATTATCCTTGGTGCGACCCGGTGCAACACGCTTCGGCACGCAGGTTATCATGCTTACCCGCTTCCTGGAAGTAAAGAGAGCGCTCAAGGAGATGGTGATAAGTGAGGAGTGGGAGGCGGTGGCGGTGGCACGGTCTGACGAGGGGCGAGCTGTCCGCCTGCTTCTCTTGGATGAGGTCTTTTGGGACTGCGCGACAGCGGTCCTCCGCCTCATGACTCCCGTGTACGAAGTGCTGCGGGTGGTTGACACGCGTGCTCTAGTCATGGGCCAGATCTATGGCCTCATGCTAGATGCCACGGTGAAGACAAATGATGCGGCAGAGGCAGCAGGTAAGCTGTGAATTGCCACACGTTCGGACTAAAGTATACCCTTCTCGCCTATTGTACTCACCTCGTGCACTCCGGTTCTCCCTATGTGCAGCCAAAATGATGCTGAAACGCACATCTCTCTTGCCGGCCAAGGACAAGCCGGCTTTTTTGTCCGCCATCAAGGCTATTATAGCCAGGAGGTGGGACGTCCAGCTCCACAATCCACTCCATGCTATTGGGTGGCTTCTCAACCCCCGGAATCAGTACCTCGGGGAGGTGAAGAACGATTCCGAGGTAAGGCTGGGGGCGGAAGCGGTGATCCAGGCCCGTGGGGTGGATGTCGCTCACCGCACGCTGATGTTGACGCAGTTGACGCAGTTTCACCAAGGAAAGGGGCTGATAGGGTCCGATGACGCTCGTTGGGCAGCAACGGTGTTGGTGGCGAGTGGGCGCTTGACGGAGGCGGAGTGATGGCTGATGTACGGGGGGGAAGTGCAAGCGCTCATGGGGCTAGCTGTGACGGTGCTGTCACAGCCAGTCACGTCATCTGAGGTGGAACGCTATTGGTCCGCCATTGCACGTGTGCAGAGGCGGGACCGTAACCGCCTCACCGCCAAAAGGATGATGGACGTGACTGAGGTGGCGTTCGCCAGGAGGGCCAGGGATGCATTCGATAGGAAATCACGGGGGAGGGAGAAGCTTTATGCCGATCTGGCCAACGGCACCCTCAAGCAAGGGTCTACCATTGAACCGTCAGAAGCAGCAGAGGAAGAGGAAGTAGAGGACGAGGAGGAGGGAGAGGGGACTGAGCAGATATGCACCATTGATTGGGACCTTTTCGGGAACATTGGGAAGAGGAAGAAGGTGCCTAAGTCCGCTAAAAGGAAGAGAAACGGGAAGGCCAAGAAGCCTAACAAGGGAAAGAGGAAGGCAACATCTGTGGGAGAGGAAGAGGGTGAGGAGGAGGAGGCGGCGAATAGCAGTGGAGGGGAGGAGGAGGAGGTGCCCACCAAGGCTCGAATGGGCAGGATCCTTGGGACATTAGTGACGGGTCTAGTGGGGAGGAAGAGGAGGAGGCGGATGACGACGATGAGGAGGAGGAGGAGGAGGAGGAGGAGGAGGAGGAGGAGGAGGAGGAGGAGGAGGAGGAGGAGGAGGAGGAGAAGGAGGAGGAGGATGAGTAGAGTAAAGAGAAGGTTGCAGGTCAGAGGAGGAGAGAGAGAGAGGGAAGGATAGGATAGGGTAGGAGTAATGAGTAGTGTGGGCGGTAGTAGTGGCAATGGTAGAGTTCTGATTGTAACACTCTGTTCTGTTGTTATGCTAGGCTAGTGTTTACCTTCCGCAACCTTGTAGAGCTATTTTCTGTGATAGCTAAAAAAAAAAAACACCACAAAACTAGTCTATAAAAAATACGGCGTATTTTTTGATATTTGGCCGTAAAAAACGACCGTATTATACGGACCGTATAATACGATAGCCGTCATTTTGATCCTTGAGCACAGCACCGCTCCAGCAGCCCTGCTAAGCTGATGCCTGCCTGTGCAATTTGAGGTGACTTTTGAGTCGACTCGAAAGTCACCTCGCTCGTTCCCCACGATGCTGTTAGTAGCACAGCACCGCTCCAGCAGCCCTGCTACTAAGCTGATGCCTGCCTGTGCAATTCCGAACAAACCTATGATATACTTTGGGAATGACTATCTCATGCCGTTTCTTTAATGATCACCTTCTGATTCTCCCAAGTTCCAAGAACATGCATGCATGCAACGTGATTTCTCTCCATAACTCTAACAACTGACCTCTCCCCCATCTCGATGTTCGCTCATCAGAGATATTTCCTACGAGAATTTAGACGGCTCAATCCCTGACTCCATTAGCAACCTTCAAAGCCTTGCCACCTTGTGAGTGCTGCTCTTTCCTGGGTGGCCATGTAAGGCAATCACAAGTGAACATATGAGGCGTCACTCACACCTTGGAAGTTCATAAAAACAGCCCTTGTCACCTTGTGAGTGCTTCTAAGCTTTCGAGCTTGCGAGCCATGTTGTTTCATCCGAGGTTTCACATTTACTCTGAAGCTCATAGGTCCCAACCGAGCTCAGAAGTTCTCATTTGGTCTCTCCTTCGAATGCAGGTGTTTTTGGAAGACTAATCTGACTGGCCCAATACCAACAACCATTGGCAACCTTCCAAACCTGACCAACTTGTGAGTTTCTCAACCAGACAGGCTCGACGGTTCTTTCCTCGTAATCTAGGCTCACATTCTCTTATATCCTGACAGACACTTACTTGAACTTGTAAAATCATCAAATGTAGAACAGTTTTTGTGAGTCATGAGAAAGCTGGTTTCACACTTACTTACTGACTGTGTACGAGGCCGAGTTCAGCTGAGCTCGTCCTCTACACTACACGGTTATTGAATGTGCCAAATGTAGCGCGAAGCTTGAGCCTTGAGTTGCTGCAGGCGCATCCTGTCCTCTACACGAGCCAAGCCGAGCAATTCCGAGCAATGCCCAGCAATGCCGAGCAATGCCAAGCAAGTGGCAAATAAATCTTGAAATCACTTCCCGCTATGAATGTGTGCCCCTAAAGACTCAAGTGTTGCGTCAATTCATTTGCTCTTTATGCATGCCCTCCGTGTTCATTTGCTCATCAGACAACTGGTTTACAACAGCTTAACTGGCACCATCCCTGCATCCATCGGCAATCTCAGCAGCCTTGATTACTTGTTAGTGCTGTTCCTTGTCTAGTTTATATGTTAACTCTGCTCCTCGTTTGTTTGACATGTGAGCCCCTGCCAGATACCACATGTTTCTTCTCAGTGGCATTGACGCTGGTCTTGTTTATGTTTTATTACTCCAATTCAAAAGTAGAAGAGTTGATGCAAGTAGTAGTACTGCGGACTTTGCTCATGCATGCATATCCCGGCAATGCAAATCTACCATCCTCGTCCTGCTATTTGAAGCATTGATATGCAACGCATTCAGCCCGACTTCCATCGAGCTGCCTTCCCTTTCAACCTCCAATGAACTGCACTAGCCCGACATACACTGAGTTTTCTCTCTTCTACACCTGTGGATAGAGGTGTCCCATCTTTGCTTAGTGTCCCAACTTTGCTTTGTGTCCCAACTTTGCTTAGTGTCCTAACTTTGCTTAGTGTCCTAACTTTGCTTAGTGTCCCAACTTTGCTTAGTGTCCCCAACTTCGCTTAGTGTCCCAACTTCGCTTAGTGTCCCAACTTCGCTTAGTGTCCCAACCCAACTTCAACAACTCCATGTTTGCTGAGTGTAGAGGCATCGAGCAGCACCGAGCATTCTACTGAATGCCTCTACACAGAGCACGTTACTCCTTTCAGGCGCTAGCTCCCTGCTTGCTCCTTTGCTCACCACCTGTTGCTACTGTTGCCACAGTATGGTTGGTTGATGGGAGGTTTTCCTCATACTCACAAACTTCCGTTTTGCCCTTAACTCACTTGTTGCACCCTCTATTCGAGATGCATGTGGCTGCTTGGAAACAAGCTGACGGGCTCTATACCAGCGACGTTTACCAACCTCTTACTTCTGACCAGCTTGTGAGTTATTTGATCAGAAGAGCTATAAAGTCTTACGAAGCTTCTTGGGCTCACGTTGTGGCCTCTTACGCCATTTTATCGTGGTATCTCCCTGAGCAGTCATATTCAAATGCAAATTCTCGTTTTCCCTCTACTGTAGTCCGTTGTGTGATGTGATGTTGTGATTGGATGGGATGGGATTGGATGGGATGGGTATGGGATGGGATGGGATGGGATGGGATGGGATGGGATGGGATAGAATGGGGCAAAAACAAGACCACGCATATTGCTGTGCACATGCAAGCAGCATGCATTTTCTGGTCTCAGTTTGATGAGAAAAGAGGAGGTGAGATGAGATGAGATGTGACGGGATGAGATGTGATGTGATGAGATGTGATGTAATGAGATGTGATGTGACGTCATGTGATGAAATTTGGTGTGATGAGATGTGACGTGAATCGTGATGAGAATTGAAGCAACGTTATTCCACACTCGTTTATTTCTTCCTACTCTCTTCAACACCACCAGCAATGCAGTGCAAGCCCTTGTCTTGCCCCACCTCCGCAATGTTCTCAATGACACTATCTTGCTAGTTGATCTTGTCGTATCCTGCCGAGATTCAGTTTAATTCTCTCTACTTGTCTTATCATGCACTGCCAGGACCCTAGCCTTGTTGCACGGTGCAACTGCTTTTGAATGAGGAGGAGGCAATGAAGCTTACACCGTAGAGTAGAGTGACCATGTCAATGTTATCATGCCTAGTGGTTAGTGCATGCATGCCTTATGCACCCTATGCATGCCCTATGCATGGCCTATGCATGCCCCGCACCGCATGTCATTCGTCTCTCTCGCCCACCAGGGACCTTGGCTACAATGAATTGACAGGCACCATTCCTGGCTTTCTTGGCAACCTCCCAAAGCTTGCTCACATGTGAGAGTGGTGCTATTTGACTATGGGTTGACTGACATGTATCCGCATTGCATGCCATGCCACCCACGTTACATCTGCACCCCATGCTTATTCTCAACACCCCTGTAGGTCATCTCTGGCTTGCCACTCTTCCTCAGTGCTTGGCAAATGCCACACTGTGATTAAGTCTTTAAGATCTGCCATTATGCCCCTTCACCTGCTTCGCTGTGGCATATCACAAACCACCCTGTGGTATCTACCCTGCTCATACACCCCGCTCCCATTTGAAAGCAGATATTTTCATGGCAACAACCTGACTGGCTCGATACCTGCCTCACTGGGCAAACTTTCATATCTCAGAGATTTGTGAGTGGCTTGACTTGCAATGCAATGGCTACGACTTCACAATATCAACCTAGCCACTGGTGAGAGAGTGAGTGAACGTCTGTCAGCAGTTTTGCGTGCCTTACACACCATATACATATGGTGCCCGTCATTTTCAACCTAGCCAGTGGTGAGAGATTGCGTGAGTGAATGCCCGTGAGCATACTTAGGTTACGTGTTTTACACACCACATAGATACATATGATATGGAGTGTGGTCTTTGTGCTCGCCCGCCTTCTATGTGCCCCTCTATCCGTTTCTATCTGTCCTTGCAGAGTTTACTTTTGAGTCAACTCAAAAGTCACCCTGCCTTCTCTGTGCCCTCCCCATTTCTGTCGATCCTTGCAGGGTTTTTCATTTCAACAAGTTGACCGGCACGATTCCTGAATCGCTTTTCAATCTCACAAATCTCAACACGCTGTGAGTGCAGTGCAATGCAGATCTTTCTTGCTTCCCAGCCAGGAAGCAAGACTAGCATTGGTGTTGATTGATAAGCAAGAAGCTGTTGATGCTTAATTTGAGCAAGTTTCTGGCATGTGCACTGTGCCGCACTGCACTGTGCTGCACTGCACTGTGCCGCGCTGCACTTTGCCGCGCCGTTTTTTCTCCTTGAACGTATGTGTGCTTCCGGCTCATCGTATCACTCCTTATTAAGTAGTATACTAATGTTTGCAACCCTAATCTGGCCTCTACTCTCCCCTTATATACACCCTATTTTCCACGAAATGCAGAAATCTTCTAGGAAACGATCTAACTGGCTCAATCTCCCCAGCAGTAGGCAACCTTGAAGCATTGATGGCCATGTGAGTAGGAGGGTTCAGGATGAAGACGGGATGAGGTTTCTTGTATAGGAAGTCAGAGTGAGAGGCAGAGTCAGAGGAAAGGGTTAGAGGCAGAGTCACAGGCAGAGTTTGTAACTTAGAGGTTGCTGGTAGTTCATGATTATGGTGAACAGGAGGAGATTGTGGCTGTGGTCTGACTGAGAGTAGACTTTTGAGTTGACTCAAAAGGTTGCAAAGCATGAAGTTGCAAAGCGGTGATGGAAGTGCATGATTATGGTGGAGAGGAGGAGATTGTGGCGACGGTGTGAGAGTTAACGATCTCACAGTACTTGGCACAGATTTAATACTATTATATCTGGGTAGAATATCCCATTATATTATCTTTTGTTGGTAGTGGCCCTAAGTTTTACAATATCGTGTTGGCAAAGGGGCTTGTGGCGGACAGTTGGACCATGTATTCCTGTGCGTGTTTTACTCAAAGCAGGTGTGTTTTAAGTCGACTCAAAACACACAAAGGGGCTTGTGGCAGACAGTTGGACCATGTATTCCAGTGTGTGTTTTACT